TGGGATAGTGCTACTTTCAATACACTGACATGTAGAACTCAACTTTATGAATTGGGTTCTACATCAGCCCCAATGCACTGCAGATCAGTTAAAGGATTGAGAAATTGAATTAAGGAGGAAATTCAGTGAGGTCAAAATGTACAATACCAGAGAGAAATATCGCCAGGATATTGGGGTTAAAATGTCACTGCAATGCAATTTTTTATATTTGGGGGTTATTATAATATCAGGGTTAGTCATTGCAGTGACTAGTGAGCAGGAAGGGTCGCTTCACATCACAAGTACTGCTTAATTCTGAATTACTAAAGTTTTTCTACACCATCAATGAATTAATTTTGTTACTGAGATTTAATAACAGATTTGAGAAACTGGGACTGCAGTTCCCCTTTAACAATGCCATTTGTGTTATAAGTGCCGTGGTAATGTAAATCACAAAGCAATCACTACCCTTCGTGCTTCTGTGTTGCTGCTTGAGTGGCAATGGTGCCTTGACTAATCTACTTAAAAGCTACTAATTGATAGAAGCAATGTCACACACCCACCTCTAGTACCCAGGTTGGGAACTACATGTCCACAAGTGATTATATTTGCTGCCAAATGCAGTAGTTTTAAATAAAAGGCAAACACTGAGTTTCTGTTTGACATGCATAGACCATATGTTTCTTTACATGCTTTGAAAATGAGTTCAATATTAAGGAGCCTTAAATAACTAAACATCTTTGGTAAAGGCTCAATAAAGGTGGCATTTCAGAATTTACAAGAGACTGAAAGAAACAAGGAGATTTAACCTGATGTGATCTATACACAGTATGATGAGTGCCAATATCCTGAATGAAGTTCTGAAGTTACACTGGGGTTTATTCCCCAGCTGATGGTCTGGTATGGATCAGCAGACATCACCTTATAAGCCCTGAACTAAATTCTCCCGTTTCCTCTAGCTTGTTTTGCTTTTCTGATCAGATGCTTTCCTGGATCAGCTTGTTTGCATGGCCCCATTGTTCCTCTTTCCTCATTGAGTATACAATCGATAATGTTCCTGTGACTGTGCCGCATGTCTTCCTGGAAGCAGTGATAAGTGTGTGCCTGCTGTAACCTCATTGTCATTACTAGAGTGCATGACTGTATATTGTGTCTGTGTATGTACCATTCTAGAACTTTCTTACTAAAACAAGATTATTCTTAACCTGAAGTGCCTTACTTTTATTTTCACTTCAGGCACAAGTTAAAAAAAAAAAAAGATTCTCCGTCTCATAGTAAATGATTTGAAACTAGTTCAATTGTCCTATGTACAGTATATGGGGAAAAAAAAATCAAAATTAAGTGTTCAAGGCTTCAGATCACAACAGCAGTAGTGGTTTCAAGTTAATTCATTATGTATACTGTATCTTAACATCAATATCAGAAATGCCTTTAAAAGTCCTTGTTGTACCTTATGACAGTTTACCCTTAATTCAACAGTGAGCCTAATTTTTTTGTTTTCATGTGTAGAAAATAAAAACAGTAACTTGTGGTCGGGGTAATTCATATAAAAGTGGTGAGGTGTCCTCTTAGAAACTTCTCGAATAGGAACAATAAAATGGTAAACCTCAATGTAACAACAACTCCACACAGGATTAAAGAGAATAAAAAGAAGAGATGATATTCTATATTAAAACTAAAATATTTAAGCACTTTTAACATCAGCTAGGGGTGATGGTTAGATAAAACTATTAATGTGGTTTCTTTATAGCAAAAAAAGTAGTAAATATATAAACACAATCTTTAAAATGTCTTGTATTGCCATTAATCTCTTTTGGGGGGAAAAAAACTAACTTAGTGCCATAATTGGCCTTAACTATCAGCTTACAGTAATGGCAGTCATACATAATGTTGACACCTTGGAATTGACAGTTAAATGCTTGAATTCTGGTTGCAGAAATATTGGCGGATTACCAAATAAAGTGATTAAGCTTTCAAGAGACATTTATTAACATGCTTAGGCAGTGCTTACACTTTTTGTTGTTTTACTTTTTCAGATGTGCAGATGTCCCAGGTCTTATTTCAGTTGTTTTTTTAACAAATACATATTTTTACAAAAAAAAAAAACAGTTTTTCAGCGTCTGACTTTTCTTAGGCACTTCAGAGTGCACATTGACATTTGAACAATATAAGTCGTGCTTCAGCAGTTGCAGAGCCCTTGTTAAGGTTCATGGTTCACCTGTGAATTACCCTGAACATGAGTTAAACTTACTCTAGGAGGCTATCACAAGGAGGTGCGCACTATCACGGCCTGCAGTAAAGCTTGCACTGGTAGAGTCCTAAATACAATAGTGCTGTGAAAGTTTGTATGTAACTGAGGCACCAAAATGACTTTGCATTGGGTTTACTTTTATTATTATTATTATGGCAAACCATTGAATGTTTTAACAGTATGTCATGTTAATCTTTGTAGGATTTATTATTATCCAATCTGTTAATGCTATTTTGTATAGTAAAGTACGTAATATTTTGGCCCAATGCGATATTCCTCCTCACAGGAATAACAAATTTGTAATACCTAAAATGGTTGTGCAGTTTTCCAGAATGTAATTGTATCATACTTTGTACATATTTGGAGAAGTAAAAGTGCCTTTCAAATTCAAGACATTTCATATAAAATGTTTTATGTCTGAATCAGGACATTCTTCTAAAGTAAAATGAGAGAAAAAATGTGCTCCACCACTTCAAAGAAAAGATGTGACCAACAAATGTGTGGTTCTAAAGCGCAGTGTACGGTTATTGTGCAGTTATTTCTGTAGAGCATACAGCTGGAAATCAAACCAAAAGGCCACTCTGTCATGCTCATCTACTGCATAGCCCACATGCTCTGGAAAAGGAGCAGCAGAATTTCACTTGGAGGTGTTTGAGTGGCTGAATGTAGTATGACTCCACTTTTATGTAGGTGGCAATGAAACAGGAGGGGCTTCCCTCTCCACTTGGATTAAATATTTATTTTCTTAGATCATTTATAAAAATAATAAACCCGCTGGACGAGCCTGCTGGGTAACAAATCTTGGAAGTGGTTCTAAAAAAAAAAACAATTAACAAAATCACGTTGTGGAAATTATCTTTATTTTCAATTTTAAAAAAAGCCAGTTCATAGACGGGGATTATTTACGAGGCCATGATTGATAAAGGTCAGTGGGAAATTTGTCCAGGATACCAAGGTAACACCCCTATTCGTTTCGAGAAATGCCCTGGGATTTTTAATGACCACAGAGAGTCAGGACCTCAGTTTTATGTCTCACCTGAGGTACAGTGCCTTTTTTATAGCGTCTTTGTCACTACACTGGGGCATTAGGACACACACAGACTGCAGAGTGAGCTCCCCCTACTGGCCCCACTAACACCTCTTCCAGCAGCAACCTTAGTTTTTCCCAGGAGGTCTCTCATCCAGGTGCTGACCAGGCTCACACCTGCTGAGCTTCAGTGGCAGTTGAGTTGCAAGAGGATATAGGTGCTGGAATATGTTATTTATTCTCAGATTTCCAGTTGTTATAACAATTACTTCCTGTTGTTTTTAGTACTAAGTGTGTTGAAGTATTTGGTTAATAAATTCCCAATATCCTTCGGGTCAGCATTTGGTATTAATTAGTTTTCTAAAAACAAGGCATGCTCCTCACAAGGCTGCTGCTACTATTTGACTAAAAAAAACACTTTGCAATCATTTCTCTCAAGGGGATCCCTCACATGTTTGCTTCGCAGTTGGGCTTCTATGCAAGTCATGGTATGAGTATGTAACCAGACACGGATGCTGTGCATTGTGTGACACAGACCATGCCAAGTTGGAAACATACAGCCAGGCTGTACACTCACAGTTTTCAATGTACCCACAATACCACTTCCTTCTGCCCTTCACGCCTTATTATTCCTCTCTCATACTTATTACAAAATTCATACTGCATCATCAGTTTGATAAAGAGTAAAAAATATACCATTTCTCCACCATGTCTTACATCATTATATATGACCCATGTCCACTCTTACCTAACACCAGGCTGAATGACACAGCTCTTTTGGTTGTTGGAAAGCAAAAGAAAGGTAGCACACTTGTCTGTTAAGAGTCACTGCAATTCATGATACCGTAAACAAATCTGCTTCTACTGGAGGGTTTTGGAATTTTTTTCAGGGGACTGTATGAAGTATTTATGTGTTATCTCATAAAGCCCTCAATGCTTGATACTTTTCTTATAAATTGACTTAGTTTAATACCAAAAACAGAGCCATTGTGTATTTACTATACAGTGCATACACTGTGCATGTACCGAGTAAATGAACAATTCTCTGTTAGGTAATTAAGGTGGCATGTCTTCGTGATAGAGAACACAAACAACACAAACAGAAAAATTGGGGTTGACATCTGACCTTGCGCTAAATTACCAGTGTGTATGCCTTTTTTTTAACACAGTAGTTTAAAAACACAGTAAATTGAAAGTGTTTTCATGAGTAATTGCTATCTCAAGAAAGCCCTGACTTATGTAAAAGCATACATATCCCTTCAATATGCACTAGGATTTTATGTTGTGGTATTGATCATTATACTAATATGTTAAAGACAGCCTTGAAATACATTTCCATGCTGTGTGTCCTGTATTTCCACACGTAGAAAATCTGTAATTTTACTTGCCTCGTTTATTGGCATTGTCTTGTTTCCACTCTGTAAATACTCCAAAACAGCTAGTGGGGATGACATTCCCCAAAACAGCGTTTTACAATTCTGTTTCTTCTTGTATGTTGTGTCCTACATTGTATGTTTTGAATATAAACCATTTCAAGATGGAAAAATGTGCATGTGCATCTATTTATGTACTGTAGTTCGTACATACTGTATGCGGATGGAGTCTGTGCCTTGAATATGGTCTGTTCATGCCTGTAAATGTACAGTGAGTTTAAAATGGGTTGTTTTATTTTGCTCTGTGCTGTTGTTGTTGTTTCATGGTATTGTATTGTTAACCCTAACTGTGTCTGTATTCTGTGTGCAGGCTGGTCTAGCAGGGGCTCCGGCAAGGGCTGTGTCTGCTGTAAAGAATATGAACCTTCCTGAAATCCCCCGAAATATTAATATTGGAGATATCAGCATAAAAGTGCCAAATCTGCCCTCCTTTAAATAATGTGGCTGCTTCCAGTACACTGCTTCACCAATGTTTACGATGCAATTTGTTTACCAAATCAAAGAAACATATTTAACTTTTATCAGAGAAAAAAAATTGAAGGTACTGTGTGATTCTTTTTGTTTTGTGTTATGGAAAATGAATGTTATCTGCCTTGCTTTTTTCTTTAAAAGTAATTTGAGAGTTCTTACACTGTTTCTTAATTACACTCCTCTGCCCCTGAAAAGGCATGTCATTGTCTTGGCTGCTACAGTATTTTAAAAATACAAAAAAGTGTTTAAAATATTTCCTGGACTTTGTAAAAACAGTTATAACAAATTATTCTTATATAAATCAATCTGTTTTTTATATGTAGATGTATTTTTTCCTTCATTTTTTCTTTGCTGTTTTACTTCAATCTTTGCATGTAGGGGGTTGTTTTTGTTGTTACTGCAGAACAATAAAGTATTCAAACATTTGTTCTTCTGTTTTAATCACTATTTTAAGGCTTCATTTTTTTTCTTATTTATTGATACCCGTACCTCAAAAATCAAATTTAATAGTACTTCCTCGATGTGGTATTCACAGTGTTATTTTTAATGTTTTCATATGAGGCAAAAAAGAAGTTGGGAATTACTTTTTTCAAGTCCCATTCTGAATGTTTTAAAATGAGCACCCCTACAAAACTGTTTATTTCTTACATTTGTATTTGCAGAGTCATTCAGAGAAATGTTTTTAATCATAAAAATATGTTATGACATTTCAGGGCTGGCAGACTCAAAGTAATTGAGCTGTTGAGTACTAAACCTATAATTTTTAATATGTCTTTGCTTCTGACAAAAAATTGCATACAACTGATTTCTTCGTGCTGTATGGAATTGCATTGTTTAAAATATCATATTCCATTTTTAAGTTTTTTTTATCCTTTGTTATATCAAACAATGACCAATTGTATTTAAAAAAAGTTATCTCCAGCAAATAGGGAGGTAGGAAAATGTGCATGACTTTGGAACAATGCCAATCTTGTGAGCACAGGAAAGCGTGATAGATAACAGAAACATATTTAAGGACTGTTCTAGGTTAATTTGAGAAAAATACAGAGCTTCTCTGCGTTTTCCTCCGATGCGCATGAAATAAAAACTTCTTTTAACTTCTGAGACGGACTCCTGAAATGGAAATGGGGAAAAACGCAAGCTTGCGGATTCCTAAAGCAGGTAAGCCCCTAACTGTTTCTGAAGAACTTTTACTGTTGGCAAAATAGCTGACATGTATTATGTGTGCTCGACCTGCTGCCCCCCCTGAAAGACACAGTCACTCATAGAATTATTGACATGGCGGATGATATCAAAAGTACGTTGATAGCGCAACGTTAAGATGAGCAGATGCTTTTCACTGCAATCAGATGAGTTTGTATATCCGGTTGATTTGGCCAGTTTGCTCGTTTACGTTAGATATGAGTTTGAGGGCATGTCCCATGAGGACTTTCTGTTCCATAAGCTGCTACCGACAAGAACTACGGGAGAGCACATATTTCAGCTTCTGAATGAATTTATCGAAGAGAATGACATTGACTGGATAAAATGCATCGGAGTTTGTACAGACGGTGCAAGAGCGTTAACAGGCAGACACAGCTGTGTAGTCGCACGAATTAGAGAGGTTGCTCCAGATATGAAGTGGACGCACTCCAGCATCCACCGCGAGGCCTTGGCAGCCATGAAAATGCCTGATAATCTGTTAGACTCTGTTGTCAAAGTTGCGAATTGTATCAAGGCTCAACCAATTAATTCACATCTGCTTTGCTCAACTAAACGGGCTCACCCCTCTCACTGAAATGGAAAGTCCTCAGTGCTGTTTTTATTATATGTGTGCACGCGGGTGCGTGCGCTCTTGTTGGTCATTGAGGTTTTCTGTGGTTCTGTGGTTTTCTTCACCCATTTAATTTCTTATTGCTAAATTAATTTCACTCATTGGTACTGCAAACCACTGGTAAGAAATAATGATATTACAGTCATACCTGCTACCACTGGAGTGCTGGACAATGCACTATAAAGAGGTTGAAAAGCTCATGGCAAATAGTGTGGACCATATTTTTGGTGGTGTTATTTAGTGTTTTGGCATATTTGATGTAACAATTATATATGCTGTATATATGATAAGACATTTACAGTTACAGACTGTAGACATAAGGTCTATCTCTAGTCTCAGACTCAAGGATTCTCTCTCTTGCTGGTGCTCCTGAGGCTGTAATTCCTCATTGCCAAAATCCACTAGAGACTCTGTGAGTGTCAATGTTTTTAAACTGGCTTAAAAATCTTCCACTATAGTTTTTAAACCTATACGCAAAGATATCACCTTTGTCTGCCGACATTAGGAAAACACAATTACCGTTACATGCTAAACTTTAACTCACATTCCATGTGGGATTTCTCTTTTAATTTCTAAAAATACGTACAGTAAAGCTTTTGCATTTGCGAGCTTTAGGTACCTTGAAGTTTCTGCGTATGGAGCGGACCCCGCCCACCATAAGCTGCTGGTCCCTCATGGCAGGGCATATACTGTATCTTCCAGAGAGGACAACAGGGGGTCCGGAGAACGGCATCACACTTCTAGACGGCGTGTTCTAAAATTGTTCTTATTGCATCATACAGTCAGATAGACAAAATTGAATATGTTAAAGGGTATAACATAGCTTCTTTTCATAGTTATATTTGAGTTACATGGAGAGAGAAGATGTTTGCCCCAAATACTTCAGGGAAAACTGTTTTCTCTTTTCATTATCAGTTATTAAAGTGCAGCCTTGACTTAATAGCAATGACAGACATTTGGCAACAGTATTGTCACTGAAGAATTCTCCTTTGTGACCTTATAAATTATAGTTGAATAGTTTTACTACTTTATGGAGATGAATAGCAGAAATGCACCAAGCACTTAGAGCTGTTAACATTTTAAAAAAGCAATTGTTACCTTTGTTTTGCTTGAGTGTTTTCCTTTCTCTTGCCTTTTAGAAAGACTCATCTAATGGCATACATCTTTCCAGAGACAGTGTGAGTCATAGCACAGGACACAGATGATTTTAATTCAAGATATAGACAGTTGTGGAAAATATAATTTCCTTAGCCATTTAATCACTTTGTTCTTTCCACAGAAATGTGATGACGTAATTTTTTAACTCTTTGTTCGAGAATAACCTTCCATACTGTATGTATTAAATTGGGGAGTTTCGGTGGCACATAGTGGAGTTTGTACAGTACGATCTACTTGTGCTCACCTGGGCTTTCTCCAGGCGCTCCAGTTTTCTCCCATAGTCTGGTAAGTTATTGCCGGTATGTTAGTTGGCTTGGCTTTCCCATTGGCTTCTGGGAAAAATATATGTGTGAGTTTGTGTACATCTGTGTTTGTGTCTGTATCTGCCCTGTGATGCAATGGTGTTCCATTCAGAGTGTATCTGTTATGCCTGGGCTGGGAGCAGCTCATATTCCGACGTTGCTCTGGGCAACATGAACATTAACACAGGCTCTCAGCTTCCCCCTGCGAACATGATGGGGACACATTTCTCATAGATCACCTGTCCTTCAATAAGGCAGTCAGTACCAAGTTCTATCAACATTAAGTTCTATTAAACTGTCTATTAAGGCATTAGCTCCACTTTATCAACGCTCTGACAGTTAGCTAGTGTCACAGTCGACATTCAACCCCTAGAGGGCGCTCCATTTACTCCTGTCAATAGTTCCTTGTGATCATTTACAGTATATGTGTTCCAGGTGTGCCTTGTTGTCTCCCCCTATTAATTCTCAGCGCCTCCAGGGCTTAGGGCTCACCATTAGGATGTGGATGTTGTGAGGCCCGCCTTGTACCAGGTCACCCCATGCCTGTGGCCTGAGAGCATAGGCCTCATCGCCGACATTTCCCACTTCTGAGCCCTGGGTCTTGAGGACCTCGCCCCGAAATCCCAGGATCTCCATGTTAGTGTGTTCGTGTTTCCCCCTTCCAGGGGATTTGGACCTTGTCACGTCCCAGGATGGATCTGTCTGACCCTGTTTTAGACCTGCTCGGATTTGGTTGCCGCTGTTTATTTCCCTGTTCACTGTCTCACGAACTCTCACTATTTACTTTATTGCACCATTAAATCCCTGTGTGTTTTTCCCTCCTGTATCCTTCAGCCCTCACCACTTCGCATAGGGTGTATTACAACACCCAACATGGACTGCAGAACCAGTTCTTGACAGCTAGAGCGTTCTGTGCTTGCTTTCACTTTCACTTTACACTTTCCCTAACAAATGCCCTTTTCCCCTAACAAAATATTTGAACACTGGCTCAGCAGGGTTCTCGCTGTTCTCCGGATTAGCAGTAGCCAGCCCTCTGAAAAGCATTTTTTGTTGGTGCAGCATTTTAACCTTTTTTTTGACTGTCTGTCTCCTGTGAGGCATCTTCTCCCCAGCTTTTTCCACCTCCACTTTCTGTCAGTCTTTCCCCGCTGGGGGACCCTGTCTCTTTCTACTGACAGTCCTGCTCCATCCCTCCCAAGGTGCTGGTCTCCTGCCTTTCTGCTGAACCAACAGACAGCTTTTTTCTGTTGGTTAAGAAGCCAACATTTACCTAACCTCTCCAATTAGCCTGCATTATATTTTGAAACACGCATCAGTTAAGCCTTTGAGTCGCTCCAAAGACTTCCTGAAGCTTCTCTTGTTTGAAACTCAGCTCGCCATGGCCCTTGTAACACAGGGGCCACAGTATAATAGTAACTTGCTTTGCACCTGTTGCTTGCTGTGATAGGCTCCTGCTCTTGGAATTGGAAGAAGCAGTAAGAAAATGGATGGCTGGAAGGATGTGTTAAATTGTATTTTGATATAAAATTTTTATCTAAAAACATTTATTTAAAAAATGAAACAGTAGATCTGTGTCATGTCTCAAGATTCTATGAGTTGTTTTGTTTTCCAAATTATCCATACAAAAGGATGTCATGAAACAAAGATCACTTTGTTATGTCAAAAAAGAAGATTGTCTAATTTTTTTTTGGTAGTGAAAATCCAAATAACATGAGCATACAGGAAAAAGAACCAGCTGTTTTTAGCATCAAATGTTGGCCTCCTCACTTTTTAGGACCTTGTATGAATTAAAGCAATTCACCAGAGACTGAATCAAACATCTGTACAGTAGATACAAATATTTGGCATGTCTGAAAGTGTATTAGTAGATATGAAGTAAGAAAATGGTTTGTAAAAAACCATAACTTTAGATTATACAGTATGTCAAATGTAAGACTTTTCCAATTATTTTAATGTCACTAAATTGTGAGATTATGGAAAGATGCCCAGCCATGGTGCCAAAACTGGCCTCTTTTTCACGTATCTGACTCCAAGGTTCAACAGGGTTAAGAACAATTAAAAACCCATAAATCACCAGATCCTGATAGTATTTTGTCCAATTTCTACTGTGCTTTACGAAATGAGGGATGTTATCTTAGGGCCTCCAAGCTAAG